TGATAAGATGCAAAATAATATGTTCTTAAAAAGACAAGCGAAACAAATTGATATCACAGGAACTACAAAATGTAAATTATGCTGAATGCAGGTTTTAAAAAGGTCAACTTTGTTAGTATTTGCAATTATTTGGAAAGGTAGAAGTTCACCCATTATTTGGTTGGTTCCTACAACATTTGAACTGTTCATTCCCCACAGCTGCCTTTTTCTCATGTCCCTCCATGCAAGAAGCGCCATTCAATTGTACTTAACTTGCTAATATGAAACACTCAATATCTGTGAACAGGCTTTTGTCAAAAACCAGAATTCATGAGTTCTTACAACAACAAACAGGAGTAATATTGGTATACTGCTTTCTTTCCTGCATGAAAGGGACCTTCATAACAAAAGAAGCTTTACACCAACCAACACAAGCATTCCCCCCACCTCCCAACTGTTACCCCATTCCACTACCTTCAACATTCACTCTCTTCACTAACTCATAGAGGCAGCAGTGTGTACCATTTACAAAGTGTACTGCAGTAACTCCCCAAGGATCCTCTAATACCACCTTCTAAACCCATGAACACTATCCCCGAGAAGGGCAAGGGCAGAGGATGCCTAGGAACACTACTACCCTTCTAACCCATGCACCATTCTGACTTGGGACTAATTGCTGGGTCAAAATCCTAGAACTCCCTTCCTAACAACACTGGGGGTATTCCTATACCTCAGGGATTGCAGCAGCTCACCACTGTCTTCACTGTTATTTGCTCTGATTAACATAGGAATCACCCACTAGGCCATAAAGATATATTAACACACGTAAATATTGGCAGCAAGGGCTTCTTATAGTTCCACAAAGATGCCAGTGCCAATTTCGTGTATCTATCTTAAAATATGATTGACTGGCACAAAGAGATTTCCAACACTCACTTATGGGCAATCCTTGTAGCCAACAATGCAGTGTTCTAATCCAAATTTGGTGTGATTCCTCGGCAGAAGTTGGATCTATTTCAGCAAGAAAATAATCTTTGGATAGATGGGCAGATTAGGGAGACAGAGATCTCAGCTCACTAGAAACGCCTCAATCAGAACGCCAATTATTTATTTTCAAATGGGATCCCAAGCGACTACAGGGAGTATGTGAAACAATGTGAATGTTTACCAAGTTGCATTACCACCAGGTATAATCATATCACCAGATGTAAGAAGAAGACAGGGCTAATGAAAAAAAATGGGCTGATAAGATACATCAAATGAAGACTTTCAAGAGTGGGACAGCACCTGAGCTGCAGAAAAAGAAACTGCAATGATTCAGGACTAGTGGAGTCTTGCTGCCCGGTCTTGTATTCCATTTTAAAAAAAACTTACTTAATCTAAAATAAGTAAATAAGTTTTTTTTAAAATGTTCATTTCTCAGATGTTATTGCATAGGTCAGAATTTATTGCCTATCTCCAATTAGAATGTGGTGAGCTGCTTTCTTGAGTTGTTGCAATCCATGTGGTGTAGGTACACCCACACCACTCTCAGGAACGAGGTTCCAGGAATGAAGGAATGGCAAATTAATTCCAAGTCACATTGGTGCGTTGCTTGGAGAATGTTCTGCCCATTTCCATCTAGGTGGTAGTGGTTTACCAAGTACCTAAAAGAATGAACTGCACAAGAGGCAGAATGGTGCAAGCCAGGAAACGAGTGCCACTGCTAAACCACGAACATCCGTGATCTAGCTACATCTAAGAGGGATTCACACGAAGACAGAAAGACCCTGCCGTGTGACCCTCCATAAGACTACAAGATATAGAAGTAGGCCACTCAGCCCGACATTGCTTTGCCATTCACTTACATCACGCGGATCTGATAATCCTCAACTCCAATTTGCTGCCTTATTCCCATAATCCTTAATTCCCGTTTTGTTTTAAAATTTGTCCAACTCAGCCTACAGTAATCTTAATGAGCCCATTTCGACAGCCCTCTGCAGGAAAGATTTCAATAGATTCACTACTCTCAGGAAAAACAGTCCTCCTCATCGGTCTTACGCAAATTATTCACTCTGGCTCTGGATTCTCCTACAAAGGCAAACAATCTCTCCACATCTTCTCTGTCAAGTTGCCTAAGAAACTCAAGTATTTCAATAAAGCCACCTCTCATTCTTCTAAACTTCAATGAGCGTAAGTCCAACCTGCTCAACGTCATCTCAAAATCCCTCCATACTTGAGAATCAACCTAGCGAACCTTCTCTGGCCTCCTGAAATGCTAATATATCTTTTAGTTCACAGGATCAAAACTGTTCGCAGCATTCCAGGAGTGGTCTGACTAGTGTCTTGTATAGCTTTAACAAGGCATCCTATTTTTATATTCCATTCCTTTGAAATAAAGGCCATCAGATATATGTGAGAGAAATGTGACTAAGCACTCATTTAAAATTTTTAAAAAATATTTGTCAAAACATGCAGCACTTTTATTAATTGGTACTGGAAAGTATTACTAGGGAGGGATCCATGATTACTAATCCAATTGAATGGGAATTATGCAACCAAAACCACTTAAGACCTACTGGCCTCAGCCTGATACATTTACAATTTGCATGTTCAGGCCTTTCTTACAGCAGCGTCATATATGCCTATGATAAGACAGTCATCAGTCATCAAAAAAAAGTGATAATTTCCTACAGAACACTTAATATCATCTGATCCCAATACAAACTAAAATTACCAATAGCAGTTGGCACCACTGGGATAATTAATACATTTTGTTCAAATTACATATTGTCAATGGATTCGTGCAACTGCCAACAACTAAAAAGAACATTTTACTTCAAATAGAAGGGCAGGTGCTCCAAACCATAATGCATATATTTGCCATTATCTGTGTTATTCATTCAATGAAAAGCCTAAGTATTATGATATGCTACATGAGAGAAAAGCACAACAGTAGTATGCTATGTTCAGTTCAGCAACTGTCAAAAAAAAAGTATAATGCAAACCCTTCATCCTCATTTTAATCCTAGAGTGAGATGTAGTTCAAAAGAAATTGATAAGCTACTTGAACTTGTCTTCCACTTTTTCATAGGCAAAATCACAAGCACAAGGAAATAATTTATTACATAGACATCAAGAGGAATTTCAGAATTTAGAACGCGAGACTATGACAGCACGATTTTACCTACAGTCAAAGAAATTTGGATGTGGAAATGCCTCTTGCACACTAGTACATCAGTGCTCCCAGTAAATTTGCTGATCTTCACACTGAAATCCATTTATTCACTTAAAGGGAGCACATAGCTCAAGGTTCAAAGTCATTTGAGACTGCATTACATCCTGTAAATCCTTTGCCAACCAATGTAGGTACATATCATCAAATGGCAGGAAACATTGCTCATTGTTCCCTTGGAAGAATATAATTGGTAAGCATTGCTTTCTACTAAACAAAACAAAACAAAACAGGGACATATATGCATCCGTTGCATAAATTTTGTTGACTTGTAAACAGTATTTGCTCAAATCTGCAAAATTATTTTACTCCTTCATGAACAGATATATTGTCCACAGCTAATCATTGTTCTTAGTTAACATCATGAATATATAGCTTCTACAAAATTAAGATTGATATTTGGAGAAGAAGGTCATGTCTGGCCAAATTGATTGAGTTTTTCTGAACAGGTGCGTTGATGAAGGCAATGAACTCTACTTGGACTCCTGCAAGGCTTTTGATAAGGACCTGCATGAAAATCTGACAGCTAAGGTAAGAACCCAGGGAAGCCAAGAAAATTTGGTGAATTGGATCTACAATTTGCCAAGTGACAGGGAGCAGAGGGTAATGATTGAGAGATGTTTTTCTAACTGGAAATCTGTGACCAGTGGGGTCCCAAAGGGGTCAGTGTTAGGGCCCTAAATGTTTGTGATTTATTTAAATTATTTAGACTTGAGCATTGGATAGCTGATCAAAGTCTTGCTGACGATACAAAAATTGGTGGAGTAGTAAATAGATAGGACAATAGTCTAAGATTACACAGATAAACACCAGCTGGTCACATGGCCAAATGCAATTCAATCTGGATAAGGGTGAGGTGATGCACTTGGGCAGGACAAACAAGGATGAACCGTAGGACCCTTGGAAGCACTGAGGATCAAAGGGACCTTACTGTGCGTGTACACAAGTTCCTTAGGGTATCAGGACAGGTAGATAAAGTGATTAGGAAGGCATAACATATACTTGCCTTTGTTAGCTGAGGCAAAGAGTTTAAGAAGAGGGAGATTACGCTGGAATTATATAAAATGGCTGTTAGGCTACAGTTGGATTGTGCACAGTTCTGGATTCCACATGATAGGTGGAATATGATTGCAGTGGACAGGGTGCAGAGGAGATTTACCTGCATGCTGCCTGGGCTGGAGAGTTTCAGTTATGAGGAAAGATTGGACAGAAATTGGTTGCTTTCCATAGAGCAGAGGAGACTGACAGGGCACATAGTTGAGATGTATCAACTTATGATGGGCATAGATAAGGTAGACAGGAAGGAACCTTTGGAGGGATCAATTACTAGATCATAGATTTAAGGTAAGGGACAGTAGGCTTAGACGAAATGTGAGGAAAATTTTTCACCTAAGGGTGGTGGATACCTGGAACTCAAAGCCTGTAAAGATGGTAAAAGCAGAAGCTCTCATAACATTAAAGTAGTATTTAGCTGTGCACTTGTGAAAGCAAGGCATACAAGGCCATGGGCCAAATGTTAAAAAACGGGATTAGAATAGTCTGGTGATTGAGTCTGCACCAGTCAAACACAATGGACCTAAGGAGCCTTTTCCATGCTGTAGACCTCTATGACTATGAATAAGGGAATAAAGCCTTGCATAACTAAGTGACACTTAATTAATTGATCATTCAGTGCTGAGTTTATACATTTCTCAAAAGTATACAAACCCAAAACCATTATTTCCAACACTTCAAAACCTAACTTCGATATATAAATCGTGATATGGTTCTACACATAAACCGTTTTACTCACGATTGGAATACTCACTGGACTTTCAACCGTCGCCTGCACCTCAGGTTCTTCTACTTTGTTCACCTTTATTTTATCGATTGGTACAGTTTCAGCAGCAAGGAGGAGACAGAGCAGCAACCAACAGCAGGATAGTTCCACACACTTCCAATGCATCTATAATGTATTAAAATAAGAGAATTCTTCCTCCACAATCCCATATTTATTCATTCAACTTGAACATTTCAATTAAATCAACCAAGTACTAAAATGAATTCTGTATGATCATGCCTAAAATTATGAAAAGCAATTGTGAATTCAGAAGGCTAACATTCACCTAGAACCCATGCTGCATTGAACACAAAATATGGTTGTTTCTTGCATCAACATAAACATAGTGGCCCCTACAGATCTGCCCTTTGATTTGATTACACTCTGTTGAAATACCCTGTAAAACAATAGGAAGTTATATTTCATTAATAACCTAAAATAATAAAACTGTAATTTTCATCTTACAAGAACATACATTTTGTTAACAATGACGTGAAGTGCAAATCCTAAGACCCAAGCTTTTACATTGAAAATAGCATTAGAAATCCATATGAATTCAAGAGGCCACAAAAATCAGTTTTATTGCTGAATCACTTTTAGATTAAATTAAAAAGTAGGGTACAGTCCTAAACAATATAAACAAAGAAAATCCTAGCCCTGGCAATAGAGTGTTAATGAATGGTTCCAATCCTCCTGGGCTGGGGAAAAAGACACAGATCTCCATTCTTAATCATGACCAGTAAGCCTCTTTAATTAGTATGCAAAGTGGATAACATCAGAATCAGATGCAATCCACATTTATTTCTTGAAAGCACAGCCCATACTAATATGAAAAAAAAAGGACAAGGCAGCCTATCTGATTAGCATCCCATCCACCAACTTCACCACTGATGCACAGTTTCAGCAGAGTGTACATTCTATAAAATGTACTACAGTAACTCACCAGGGCTACTTGCCAGCACCTTCCAAACCCACAATGTCTACCACCTTGAATGATAAAGGCAGCAGATGCATGGGAGCACCACTGCCTGCAAGTTCCTCTCCAAGTCCCACACCATTGTGACTTGGAACCATATTTTTATTCCTTCACTGTCACGGAGTCAGAATCCTGAAGCTCCTTTCCTAACAACACTCTGGGTGCCGCTACACTCCAGTGACTGCAATAGTTCAAGGCAGCAGCTCACCATCTTCTCCAGGACAATTAAGGACGTGCAATAAATGTTGGTCTAGCCACCAATGCCCTCATCTCATTAAGAAGCAAGGAGAAACTACTCAGGTCTCATTGTGGGATGTGATTAATTTCCTCTAGGTGAATATCAGGAAGACCAAAGGCATCTTCTGCTCCTACCACAAACTTCCTAACTCTTGACACTGACTTGATTCCTATTGTAAACCATGCCTTAGGCTAAGAGACAATCCATGGTTCCAGCATCATACATGGTCCTGAACAGATTTTTATAACACCCTAACTCCAAAACAAAGATCATCTACCACAGGCACCCTAACATTGCCTTCCTCTATTCCTCGTTTAATCTGCCTGCTGCTGAAGTTCTCGTCCATGCCACTGACACCTTTGGACTCAAGTACTTTAATGCTCTTCTTGCCAGCCTACCATATTCTACTAATCTCCATTTATCAAAAGCTGTGTAGCTATGTCCTTTAGCTACCAAGTTCTGTTTACTAATTGGAATCACAGGATTTGGGGATGGCAATTTCATGTTCAAGTGTTCAAATCACAAACACCTTGCTTACCCTTAACTATCTGTATTCCCTCTCCTCGTACCAGCAACACTTAAATGTTTATGTCTTTGGCCTTCTGTGCAGTGTTCCCCAATTCATTCCAAAATCAATACACATTCTTTCAGCAATCAAGATGTAATGTTCTACGATTCCAAGTCCTACGTTTTTCCCCTGTTCCTCTTCCACTTCTTCTGGAGAAATGCTTGCTAAAGCCCAACTTCTTGCTAAGTTTCGGGTCATCCTTTGCAATATTTTTATCGTTGATGCAACATTAACTTATTTCTCATTATACTTCTCTGAAGCACCCAAAAATGTTTTCTTATGTTAAAAGTACTATAATAACAAAGATGTGCAAGTCAGGTGGATTGGCCATGCTAAATTAACCATAGTATTTAGGGATGTGTAGGTTAGGTGCGTTAGCCATGGGAAATGCAGGATTAACGGGATAGAATAGAGGGATGGGACTGGGTGGGATGCTCTTCGAAGGGTTGGTGTGGACTGGTTGGGCTCAATGGCCTGTTTCCACACTGTGGGATTCTATTAAAAAAGCACAAGAAATTATTATTGCTGTTCCTTGTGTCATGCAACGTGATACCAAAATAGTTAGAGCATGAATGGATTATTAAAATTTGAAGTGGGTTGTCACTGCAATATACAATTCTGTACTTCCATAAATATCTCAACATAAAAGCATTTGTTGGAAAAACAATTTATTCCCAATTGGTGACAGATGAAACGATTAACAGTTCTTGATAATAAACTATCTGCCATTTAGCAGAGTTATGGGACATCCAAGTTTGATATTGAAATATAAAAAATGTTTAAAAAAGAAATCAATAAAGGGAACATCATTAGACTTAAAGTTGCAGCGACTAAGTTATTATACCAACTTATTTAAATCCCAAACAATATTTCAACATAGGAAAATTCATGTCAGCTGGATTTCTGATCCTAAATTCAATTGAAATTGCCCTAAATGAAAATGTTGGTCCAGTAAGCTGTGTAAAAGCAAATAATGCAAAGTTCAATGCTCTAAGGTGTAAAAAAAAAATCTTAAATATGTTACAGATGAAACAGAATAGGAAAAGGATATAATTGTAAAACTTAGTGGGCAACAAGTTCAGTGCTCTTTAGATGATTTCAAAATTATTTGAACTCCCTTGGAGCTGTAACATATTGTAGCAATTACTGCACTTACATAACTTTCAGCACATGGTCAGAGACAGAGTCAAATACTATTAAACATACTGTATGAGGCCATATTGTTCATCTTTCTGTGTTTCTTTTTTCACTCCCAGAGTAACCCAAATCTTATCCCTTTGTCTGGCTATTTCCCCATAGCCTTTTATCTCCCTCAACTTCAAGTATTTATTGAATTTCCACTAAAGAAAAGGGACGATCTCCACCTCAACCATGTTGCATTTCATATTTCAACCATCAATCGGTGCAAATATCTTTATTGCAAGCCATCTTACCCCCTTTTTTGTGGGGGGGGGAGATGTGGGAGAGCAGGAGTGCGAGAGTGTGAGAGAGTGTGTGAGAGAGAGGGAGAGCAAGAGATCAAGAAAGCAAGAGAGCAAGAGAGCCCTAAACGTGGAATGAAAGATGATGGATAACCAGAGAAGCCAATACTACTACTTCAAAACAGAACTCTGCATAATTTTGTAAAAATAACTTTTCTTAAATCACTTCCTCATTTTACCAATTTTTACTTCACCTCCGGGAAAACCTAAATTTATATATCCCAAGAACAACAGCGAACCAAGCATTTATCCTTTCGGTGTGTTACTCCAATCCCTTCTCCCTTCCAAATAACATTTGCTTACCAGAATTGATCTTTGTCCAATTTTTAAAATTGTTCCTCTGCTTAGATACTTTGTCTCTCTCCCAGTCGCTGCCTCAACTTATCTCTTCTCCACCTTCATATTCATCTGCCACTGTTTAAAGTTTGAATCTCACTTGTATACACCCAAGGCTACTTGATCACTCCAGGTATTCTCTAAAAGGAACCACAGAGGCACATGTATGACTTCCTTACGAGCATCAAATTGCTTCACCCTTTACTCTCATTGAACTTCTTACTCTGTAGAAGCTAATATTATCAAGATCCTTCCTTTGCTGCTCTTCCCACACACTACTACCACCACAAGCTAACAATCACCACATTTTACACATTTTGCTCCGAAGTGTTGAGTTCCCATGAAAATGATCTTGCTGTGGATAGTAACATTCTGGGTGGCACCACAGTGACTCCCATTCTTCATCCTCCATAAACTTCATGCCATCCAAAACTATGCTATCCCAAATCTGTCCACCTATCAGTCTTAAGATTGTTTCTGCCTATACTGTCACCCCAAGCCTCAAACTTAAAATGTGCATGATTTGCACTTGTATCCTTTCAGAAACATGCCTCTTCCTCCCTATAACCATTGACTTGGGTCTTTATGCATGCCTTGCTACTTTTACTTCACCATTAGTAGCTAAACTTCAGGTGAATTAAGACCCAATAAATAGACAGCACCCCCTCCAAATTCATCCATTTCAGCTCCTCCTTTAAATCCCTTCTTTGACCAAGACTTCAGTCAGCGGTCCTTTTTTCTCCTTCTACCAACAAACTTTTTTTTTGTCCAAATATATCTCTGTACCAACTGGAGATGGTTTTCTATGATAAAAGGCAGTATAGAAGTTAGAATGTTGCTGCTGTCGTTATATCAAACCCCTGAAAATGTGTGACAGCTTTTGAAAATCCATCTGTATAACATCTATTATATTCCTCTTATCTATTCAACCTGTAACTTCTTCAGAAATTATATTGGTTAAATTAGATTCATCTTTAACAACAGGCCAACCATGGTAGCCATTGATAACAAATGCATTTCCAAATGCTTATTAATATCATTTTGAATTAAAAATGTGTTCACAAATGATTAACATATTGATTTTTAGTTATCCATATTGCATTTCTGTCCCTGCTTGATGGATGTTACAAAAACCATTCTCCAATATGAGAACTGAAGTTACATACCCCCACAATGTTAAAGAAAAATTCCAGCCAGAGATTGATACCTTCTTAAACTCACCAACCTTAACAGTCTAACTTGCATGTCAATGAACCCAACCTTGTTGAATTCCACCTACACCATATTACTACTAGTCAAACACCTAATGTGTAACTGGTTCCTAGTGTTCATTTGCTACAAGGATTATATAGTGCAAAATAATAACGTTAAAAAGATTTCCCTAACTTCTCAACTGCCATCACAAAAGAAAACAGATTAAATAATAAATCTTCTACTCGTCAGTAAATAGCTATGGTATCAGCACTCTCAAGTGAAATTGTATGTCCAATACCATATTTGTTATATAGATCTATACGTATATGTACATATACATCTGATGTCAAAAACCACTTAAATGATCAGTATACTACTGTACAAAAACAGAAGTTGCTGGAAAAGTTCAGCAGGGCTGGCAGCATCTGTGAAGAAAAAAATCAGAGTTAATGTCTCGGGTCTTCTGCAACTTCTGTTTTTGTTCTTGATTCACAGCATCCGCAGTTCTTTCAGTTTTTATTTAGGGTACTACTGTAATTCAATTCAGAATATAAAGTGTGCATTTAAAACAATTGATCTTCAAGGAATGACAAAATTAGAAAAATCAAATACAAAGTATGACATACCTATTTTCTGTCTCTAACCAGTGAGAAAATACCTCACCTTATCTGTTAAAATCAGGAAAAAGAAGTTTGACAGCTGTAACTAGCAAGCATATCCACATTTTATCCAATTTATGCAAACTAGGTTGCTTAAATTCAATTGACGTGAAATATATTATTCGGAATATCAAAGTTCCAGAGAAAACTACAAAGTATGGTCTCAGAAACTTCTACTGTTCCCTTGCAATCCTCATAAGTAGGTAACCACATGTATTTGCCAACCTGACCAAATATTAGTGAGAAAATAAAAGTTTGTGGCATTCACCTTTCTTATTCTATGAAAATTGGTGCAATTTTTTTGAGGAAAGAAAGATACACAATAAAAGTTATTATCTCACTATGAGGATCCCCACCACATTATGATCCCAGCAGATGGTAAAACTGGACAAGATTGGACCATAAGGTTTGTTTTTAGCTTTTGTTTTATTATAGCAGTCAGTCACAATATATTCAAAAGAGGCTGCTAATGTACTTTTACTAAAAGAAAAAAAAAGCATATTGAGCAACAGGAAAATTAAAACACAGCATTATTCATGAACTGTTTGAAATAGTCCTGTTACAAAAGTCAGAAATAAAGACTTAACCACTTTACACCAAAAAATAATCTTACAGATATTCAAACTTCAGTGGGTCAATCTTGTCTTCACTTTAAAACTCCTTGTTCAGTTGCCATGGCCTCAATTGGTTTCTGAAGTGTTCTTACTAACTTCTAAACAATTTAGGAGAAAACACATGGGTTTCCCAAACATTCAGCTTCCAGCAGCTTTTGCGTCAATCTTCTCACTACCCTAGCATTTCCACCTCCACTATCATAGAGATCACAGATCATAGAATCCCTACAGTGTGGAAAAAGGCCCTTCAGCCCAACAAGTTCACACTGACCCTCAGAGCATCCCACCCAGACCCATTCCCCTATAACCCACCTAATCTACACATCCTTGAACACTATGGGCAATTTAGCATGGCCAATCCACCTAGCCTGCACTTTGGACTGCAGGAGGAAACCGGGGCACCCGGAGGAAACCCACGCAGACACGGGGAAAATGTGCAGACAGTCGCCTGAGGATGGAATCGAACCCGGGTCCCTGATACTGTGAGGCAGCAGTGCTAATTACTTGAGCCACCATACCACAGTGTCTACTGTCCAAAGTCTGATTTCCTAGATGTTTTTCTCTATGTCACTCAGGAATCCTTCTTACAGCCCTGACTGTTTCGGAGGCTGCTAAACTTACAGTACCTGTAGCATTATTTTTTCTTCTTAATTCCATTGGACGCACTGAGCTATTCATCTCAAGGGTTTTCAAGATCTCATTGTACACTCACATACATATATAAACAAAATTTCAAACACCACGTACAACTCTCAGAACAAATCCAAAACGAGATTAAAACGTCTCCTCTTAACATATATAGAAATATGAATCAAACTTAAAATATATACATAGCTCTTCTATTTAAGACCAAAAGTTTCCAAATAGTAATAATAAATCATAAACTACATCACAACTGTTTCATGAAATGGTTGGTTTTATGTGTTTTCTTCAATCAGAGGCTTCTTGTTGAAGGAAACACTTAATGACTTGATATATAGCTAACCTTAGACGGTAAGAGAACAGTGAAATGACGGATCATCCTGACAGTAAATTGTTCAGAGACATTTCATTTTAAAACAAATGAATTTCTTTCCACTTTTCCTCCTCCTCTTCTTTTCTATATAGAATCTAATCGTCATTCAATGCATCTTCATCTTCCAACTGGATTGGTTAAGGACATATAACATTGGGCATGACATTCACTGCTAATGTTACTGTGTCTTTAACAATTCTAACAACTTGTAATACAGAAGTATAGCCCAATCTTAGAATGGGGAGAGGGGGGTTAATCTATTGTGTCTAATCCCACAGCATTTGCTGGGAGATGCATCCTTCCTGCGATTTCTGAGTCTTTAAGTCATTATATGTGTTTACCAATGAGATTTGTATTACTGTATCAAATATTTTGTTATCAGTTTTTTTTGTCAGTAACAAGTATCCAGTTCTTAGAATTTGTTTTAACAGAATTGTGATCCCTGCATTGTGCAATTTCTCCCTCACAAACAGAAAATGAAAAAAAATGGATACATATTTCTAATGTGCTTGTACAGAAGCTGTATTCAATTATTATCAAACAAAACTATTCAGATCAGCATTCTCCAGGGTGCACCAAATGTTTTGCAAATTGGATAAAAAGTTTCAGCTCATGTATTGAAACAATTTTCATTGTACTACAAAGTACACGAGATAACAAGGTGTAGAGCTGGATGAACACAGCAGGCCAAGCAGCATCAGAGGAGCAGGAAAGCTGACGTTTCGGGCCGAGACACTTCTTCAGAAATGGGGGAGGGGAAGAGGGTTCTGAAACAAATAGGGAGAGAGGGGGAGGCGGATAGAAGATGCAAAGTACACGAGTTTACTTACCATAGTAATTGTATTACAGAACAGATAAAAATAAAACTAACTTACTTCTGCTACTGTATCTAATAGATACACATGCAGGCACAGTTCTACAAAAGGTGAGGCAAACTAAAAGGTTGATTTAAACAACATTGGGTGCAGAACAGTCCAAGCAAGCAGTTTCAGTCAAAAATCTATGTTATGCAGAAATAAATATTAATGACGTTTAAGACTCAGAACTCTAATTTCTCCAGGCTCATAATTCAATTTTGCTTTCAGATTATCCAACCTTATATACCAGAAATGGTTTTGCGGTCATTTTCAAGCCTTTAACAAGCTTTGGATGGAAATATAATAAAGTTTGAAAGTTATGTTTCCAAAACCAAACGCGCTGTGAAATTGGATGGAGAAATATTTTGAACTCCAACCTGCAGGAACAAAACGTATACAACATAAACATATGTTTTACAATTTGAGCGGACACTTTGCCAAGGCGCACAAAGTGTAAAGGATTTGACTGCCACCTGATGTCCACGGCAGATTTAATACCTTTAAGCCCAAAACAGCCTGCTCATCTCCCGACGGACCAAATATTAGGATTGGTACAGAATAAATTTCATACAACGATTCATTCTAACGGCGCAGCTATGCTTCTTACCCTGATGTCTGGTACCTCCTACTTTCAGACAGGACTCTGGGTAATGAAGTTCTTTTTCAATGGTGAAGTTGAACGTGAGAGATCAGATTTAGTGGCCTTCCCTTAACACTCGGTACCTCTGACCTGTAAAAAGATGCACAGCCACGATCCTTGGCGAACACAAGCGGCACCTCCAGCTCCAATCCACCACAGCTCGACCCCGTTTGACAAATGTAGCAACGTAACCAAGCGCTAGCTCCTGTAGGCCACGCCTCTTATCATTTCCATTGGTCAGATCCCGCACAGCAGTTCCCGCCTTAAACACAGATCAATTCCCCGTTGGTTAATGCCCCTGTCAATCGGGAGGGGTGTGCGTTTTGCTAACAGGTTTGGTTGAGAGCTGAAAATAAATCCATGTACGTGGCGTTCAGGGATCAGGCTCCTTTTACAAGGGATGTGACGTCAGCTGTTACAGGGGATTGTATTATGTTGGCATCCAAGATATAGGTGGGATTGACAGTGGAATGTGATTTTTTTCACCCTTCGCTGTCAACATTAATTGGGTGTTTGGAGACAGTTTTACGAACCAACAAGAGTCGGGCAGTTTGCAAACATTTCGAGCTTTCAGAGCGAAAGACATTGGACAGGTCTCAGTGCTGGAAATGGAATAATCAGCATTCACCGGCAGCCCCTTCCAGGGCTGACGATGATAAACGCAACACAGGGTTTGTAGACTAAGAAAACGAAAGGAGGTGTACAGTTTTCAGTCTGAGCTCTGAGTTGAACCTGTCCATTGTTCATCACAGTAGCTGCTTCTCAAAGTGTGTGCGGCCGATGGACCACCGTGAAGCACCTCCTGCAGGTGGCGAACGGCATGTCTGTGTTACATAGACGGACCGGGCCCCGTAACGTAGGCAAACGAAACTTTAATACTATCAGCAGAATTTGTTACTGTTGATTTTCTCCAATGATATAGATTCAAGATAAGTTTTAGTTTCTCGATGATACATATATAACACATTAAAACGTTTTTAAATCAATGTGTTCTGTTGTCGTTTTAATGTTTCTCCCATTTGATCTGTGGTTGCCAAGGTGCTGGTTGATCACACCTCTTCATCTCCTTCTGCTACGCATTTCTCTTCCAATTTCATTTTGTTTACTATTCTCATCACTGCATCCTTTGATCTGGTCTTCGGCCTTCCTGACCTCCTTCCAGTTCCATTTTTGTCACTTGGGCCACCCCATGCCCTCTCTACAACAGACGACCGTACTATTTTAACCCTTCCTTGGCTACTTCAATGGTAACACAATTTTACTCATTCCCAATGTCCTGGCTCGCGATTTTACAGCATGGAAAGAGGCTGTTCGGTACAGAGTGTCTGCTCTAGTTTTCAAACATCGATCTATCCTTGGGCCATTTTCCAGCATTTAGTCTGTAGCCTTGTATGGTATAGTGCGTCGTGTTCATCTAAATACTACTAAAGTGTTTAAGGTTTCCTGCCTCTACCACCCTATTAGGCAGTGAGTTCCAAATACCCAAAACACTCTGAGTGAAAACATTTTTCTTTAAATCCCCTCTAAACCTCCTGCTCCTAACTTTAAAATTGAGCCACAAAAACAGAAGTTGCTGGAAAAGCTCAGCAGGTATGGTAGCATCTGTGAAGAAAAAAACAAGAGTAAACGTTTCAGGTTCAGTCACCCTTGTTCAGAACTTCAGGACTTTAAAATTGAGCTCCTGATTATTGACCTCTCTATCAAAAGGAAAGATTTCTCCCAATCTGTTAAGTCTGTGCCCCTCAGAAATTTGTACACTGCAATCAGATCCCCACTCAGCCTTCTCGGCTCTGAAGAAAACAATCCCAGTTCACCTCGTCTCTTCACAGAGCCGAACCGCTGCAGCCCCGGCAACGTCCTAAAGAACCTCCTCTAAATCCTCTTCAGTGCAATCACATTTCCTTCTATAGGACGGTGTCTAGAACGGCACACTGAATTCCAGCTGTCACCTAACTAATGCTATGTATAGTTCCATCATAACCTCCTGGCTCCTGTACTCAATGTCTTGACTAATAAAGGCAATTAACTAGTGTCTTCTTAACCCACCTTATCTACCTGCCCTGCTGCCTTCAAGGAT